GCCTTGGTGATGAGCTCGGACACCGGGGGCCCGGACGCCTTGCGCTTCGCAGCGCCACCGCCCGCCGCCTTCTTGGTTGCCTTCTTTTTGGCAGGCGACTTCTCCACCGGCGCCGGGGCAGCCGTGTCAGCGGGAGCGGTTTCCGACATGGCCAAGAGCAGAAACTGCTACGAGAAGAGACGTTGCAAATCTAAAGCGCAAGTCTTGCAATGCAGCCTGACTCCGGCCAGGGGCTTATATAAGCCGGTGCTGCTCTGTGATTGGTGGAGCGTCCAATCCACTGCCCTCAGGCAGCCGCCCTTCCCGGTTGGACTCCCTAATTGTGTTTGTTAGCTCCCAAAACCTGATTAAATGCTGAACATAATTATACAGAATTTGACGCTTTGAAGCTCTCAAGGAAGACAGCAGGCTCCACGTTCACACACGGGTTTGTGTTTTCATGAATCGTGCGCAACAGATGAAAGATACTTTTTAAAAATCTTTTCAGCTTGTCTTAAGAATCCACTGGGTTTAGGGCATCCTGCTAGTTAGTTGAAAATTGCAAAAACTTCCTACTAAGTATCAAGTGGACGTTTTTAAACATGCTTTGTCCCTAGGTTCTGCCTTCGGTTTTTGCAAGAGGAAAGACACGGTTTCCTGGGTTTGGGCATAAACGTTGCTTCTAACTGTAGCAAGTAACACAGGCAGGGCAACAGATTGCCTAGTGCCCCAAATTAACCACATAGATCTTACTTTAAAAACCAGTTCTGCCTCCTAGGAGTTTGCACGTGCCAATGTCTTTAGAGAGTGTCTTTTCAGCTTGGAAAAGTTCAGTAGCCAGAGTGACGTCTACCTGCAGCAGGAGGAAGAGGAATAGCTTTGGCTTGAGGATCCAATGACCTGGATTCATATTCAAACCTAAATTTGATGTTTTTGATTGAGATGCTATCTGCCTTTAGTATTAGGCAAATCCATTATAATAAATCGGAAAGATGCTTAGTGTGCTCTAGGAAATACTCAAACCTGCTGAAAGTATTCAAGGGTTTCCAGTAGTCCTCAAAAACACACTGTTTAGATAACATGGGACTTTGTCAGGTTTCAAGGTGCTCTTCCCAATGCTCCCCAATTCAAACTCCTTATCTCCACCAACATTTAATAAAGTGCACTGTCATAAACACTCTCTTCTGTAATGTGGGCATTATTGTGTGTTTGAGGGAGTAGAGACCGTACTTCGACCTGTACTTCAGAGAAATAGTTGGCTACTGACTCATGAGAAAAGTAGATTGGGGATTCGGGGACTGCAAGTTATAGCGGGTCAGAAGAATTCAGAAATATATCAGCATCCAAGAGAACTGAGGCAATAATCATGAGGGTGGGTTAAGTTTGCTGTTTATTTGGGGAGAAGGTGGAGTGGGGAATGAATGGGATTTTGTGACTGGCCTGGATGGTAAGGGAGGTCTAATGATTAGAATCTCTACTGCAGTCAACACTCACTATGTTATTCCCTGTGAAAGACCTGGTAGGGAAGTTTAAAGGCGCCAACGTATTTCTCTCCAAAGAGCTCCTGAAGTTTAAACTGTAGCCATCTAAGGCCAAATCTGGACAGTTTCCTGTTTTGTATGGCTCTCAAGCTAAGAGTGGTTTTTATATTTTATTAATTGTGCTAGAAAAAATAAAAGAGACCATATTTGGCCTGCAAAGCCTCAAATATTTGCTATTTGGCCATTCTGCTATGCTTTGGACTCCTCCACATAGACAGAGTATGGTGTATTGCTACAAGCCTGCCTCATTCAGAACAATGGAAATCAAAAAAATAACAAGAAAAATGTTTTAATCAAGCATTTCCCACTATTTCAACCACAAAACTTTCAGAAGATCAGGGCGGAGGGGACCTCCATGCTTAAGGAGCAGGAGAGAGGTATAATCAAGGGCTAACGTTCATTGAGCATTCGCTAAGTGCCAAGAACTAAGAATGCTCTACAGTTTTAATTCATTCGCCACATTTTACAGCTATACAGGCTGAGACCCAGAAAAAGGATGAGTAACTTGGCAAGCGGTTATATGGCTAGTAATTGGCAGCTCTGAGTTTGAAGCTAGACCACCTGGCCTCAACTCTATTATGATGGGGAAATCATTCAAGGCGTGGGCAGAAAACAATCTCTGAAGCTTGTAAGAGGCAACATCAAGTAGTCCCTACAAAGAGCCACTAAGGATCTCTAAATCTATAGGAAGAGGTTCTTTCTGGTCCCTTGGGTCTGAACTCTTTGCCCTCAATCCCCAGGCATTCCAAAAAGCTTTAGGAGCCAGTAGATTGGATATGAACCTCTCTGAAAGGATGTATCCGAAAATAGGGGAAAGAATATAAGGTCCAGATGGCTGAAGTCTCCAGAGAAAAATTGCTAACTCCTGGAGGATTTGAAGTCAAAAGAAGTAAAATGGGTCAGTGGTATTCATATGTGAAATGCATGAAGAGACTTCAAAATCAAACTGGACAAAATATACAGTCAAGGTCGGTTGGGAAACCCAGAATTCTAAGTGTGGAAACCTGTTAACAGCTTTAAAATATGATTTAATTCCCATTATGATTTATTTGAAAAAAAATGAGAATCCAATTTCAGACTGAGGAGCACACTTTTAAAACAGGTGGACAAATTTTTAGAGCTACTGGGAGCTCATTGTACAGACAGCCTGCAGGTCGGTGTCCAGGTCATTGTTGGCCCATTTTCCACCATAATCACATACACAAAGCCCAAGAGCATACTCTTCTCAAACATTACATTGACACAGGGGAAAAGAGAACACCACTTGTTGGCAATCCCGGTTTTGTTCCTTCACATCACAGGAAAGCAAATAAAAGGCACGTTTTTGAAGTAAAAGCATTGGGGGGATCATTTGGCAAAGATAAACTGTAATTGCCATTTACACAATAATCCATAGGAACCTGAGCTCAACTTTCCTAAAACTTGGGCGTCCTTTTTGTCACTTCCTGTAGTCTAGAAGGTTTAATTTCTAAAATGGTTGGGTCATTTTAAAAATGCTTATCCAGGAACAGCTCCTTCCTGCGCGCATTTTTCAGCAGGGTCTGCCTGTGGAACAAAGTTTTACTGAACATAGCCACCTTCTCCAGTCCTCAATTTACTATTGAGCACACAAGACCTTCCTCGAAACATCCCCGAGTTCTTTCTCATAGGACTGTAGTAACATACTCCAAGGTTAACAGCTCTTTCTGAGGACAATGGAGGGGCTCTGAAAAGAGCCTTTGGGGGTAGCGTATACGGAGTACGCTAGGAAGCTTACGCCCTCTCCCCACGGATGCGGCGCGCCAGCTGGATGTCCTTGGGCATGATGGTGACGCGCTTGGCGTGGATGGCACACAGGTTGGTGTCCTCGAAGAGCCCCACCAGGTAGGCCTCGCACGCCTCCTGCAGGGCCATCACGGCCGAGCTCTGGAAGCGCAGGTCGGTCTTGAAGTCCTGCGCGATCTCGCGCACCAGCCGCTGGAACGGCAGCTTGCGGATCAGCAGCTCGGTGGACTTCTGGTAGCGCCGGAT